AAGCCTAAACTAGGAGACGAGGTTTCTCAAATTGAGATACCGAAGCTATAAATGGAGGTGTATCTTGTTTCACCTGTCGTAACTTGCACAGATTGCGTTGACACTGTAGAACCCAACGTAGGGCTTGTATCAATGCTTGATGGGTGCAGTGTAACTCCGACATCTGCAAATATTCCGATTTTGTATGATCCTACTTACTATAAAGCGCTTCGTCTGTCGTGTCTGTCGTCTGTCGTCTGTCGTTGTCGTCTGTCGTCTGTCGTCTGTATGTCTGTCACGAAATTCCCTAGCTCCTCGGGATCCGCCTGGAGGGACCGGGTCAAGTGTGGGATGGGTGGGCAAGGTCTCACGAAGTACAAAACACACATCAGCTAAGCGGAGCCCCGCCCACAGTGGGCGTGGCGTGCGTCGAAATGAAGTGTACTGACGACCGAGATTTTCAATTCAGTACAAAACAGCCTCGAAACTGGGCCAAAAAGTGGGTAAAGGTGTGCATTGGTAAGTCACATCGAATTAGGGAGACCCACCCCCGGTGGGCGGGGCGTTCTCCAAAAAAGCATTGATAACTTGGTTGGGAGAAAGCCTACAGAGCAGAAAACAAATTGGTGTAGGGAGCAATGTCTAAGGTGTTCCCAGCATACATGACGTGGGCGGAGGCCCGCCCACAATGGGCGGGGCGCGCTCTGAAGTGTACAGCATTTTCTACAAGTCCTCATAATTCGGGCCGGGGAAGTCTTAAAGAGCCGGAAAAAGGTGGATAGAGGTGGGTGGAGGAGTGGAGGCCAGCTGTCATCGGTGGGCGGGGCATGACCAAAGTGGGCGGAGTTTGCGACGAAAATTCATAACTCGGCTCCAAGAAGTCCCGGAGGCCGGGAAAAAGGTGGGTGGAGAGAAGGGGTTCGATTGCCCTTGGCAGTCAGTGTTTGCATCAAAGTGGGCGGAGTTTGCCAGAAACTTCATAAGTCCCTCTGCCAGACCTAAAACTCGGTTCTAAGAAGTTCTGGAGCTTGGGAAAAATGTGGATAGAGGTCTGCGATGGAAGCGAGGGACCGGAGTTTTCGACGGGCGTACATAACTCGGTTCCAAGAAGTCCCGGAGACCGGGAAAATAGTGGAAAGAGGTGGGTGGAGGAGTGGAGGTCAACTGTCTTGGTAGGCGGAGCATGACTAAAGTGAGCGGAGCTCGGCTGCAAAACTAAAAGTCGGTTCAGAGATAGTCCGGAAACCGAAAAAAGGTGGATAGAAGCCAGCGAAGGGAGAGAATTCAATCTTCATTGGTGAGCGGGGTATGACCTAAGTGGGCTGGGTTTGTTGCCAGACCTATAAAGTGGTTCCACGAAGCTCTAGGAACTGGGAATAAAGTAGATGGAGGCCGGCAAAGGGAGGGAAGTCAATTTTTATTTGTGGTTGGATGCACTAAAGTGGCCGCGTTAGCCGCCAAGCATATAGATTGCTCAGGGTCAGTTCAGAGACCGGGGAAAACGGAAGCTATTAGCAAGGAAGAAAAAGATGGGTGAGACATGCACCGAAATAGGCTGAGTTCATGACGAGATTTATAAATCGGTCTAGAGGCAGTCCGGAGACCGGGAAAAAGCGGATAATGGTTGCGAAGAAGGAGAGGTTAAAGCTATTAATTATGGAGCGGATAGAACCTAGCTCAGAAGTCAAATATTCGTAGTGTATCGGGCCAAATTGAGAATTTACGCCGCACCATCCCATATCGCCGCAGATCTGTGTTGCGCGCGCAACGCGTGCTGCGCCAACTGGTACAACATACTCTTATGGAGACTGTCATTTTTGAATCTTGTTTCACCTGTTGT